GATTAAAAATGGTGTTATTCTCGCCTTGTTGGGGCCTCCGACCTTTAAATTTACCGCCTATAATATCTACCTTAATACGTCGATATAAAACCCTAAACGCTATATAATATCTATAACCCTAAACCTTTATAATTCCTTTTATATTTCGGAATATTACCCTATATATAAATTATCTTTAATATCTATATCGCCCGTCCGTTCTATTCTCGATATTTTATCCTTTATATCTATATCTTTCTAATCTCGTTTAAAAAACTATAAACCGTGGAACCCTAACCCTTATAATTCTTATTTTATATCTCTATAAATCTATATATATTAATCTTTATATCTATATATAACTAAATTCGATAACTTAATTCTATAACTCTCTTCGTATCTTATTTATCCTTACTCTTTATAATCCCCTCGATATATATATACCTTACTATTTATATAATAAATCCCTAAAACCCTTACCCTTTATACTTATATATCTATGTCCCTTCTATTTCTTTGGATTTATTCTCTTCTATATCTCTCTTAATATTATTTGCCCTTCCTTATATATATTCCCTTAAATATATCCCCCTATATATACCCCTTTCTATATATCTCTTTATATTTATATTTCTATATTTCTATTTCTATATCTATATTTCTATTTCTATATTTCTATTTCTATGTCTATATTGATATTATTCCTTTTATCCTAACCTCGAAATCTCCCGAACCCTTATAATATATATCTCCCTTTTCGATTATCTTAATATTCCTACTTTTCTTTATATATCGATATATTCCATCCCTCTTCGTATAATCATCCTTTCTTCCTATATATATCCCGTATAATTCTCTCTATCCTATCTTCGATAAATCCCTTCCCTTTAAAATATATATATTCCCTTCAATTGATTTCTCTATCCCCACTATCCCTAATTGGAACCCCCTTCCCCTATAATCTATATATCTAAATCCTATTCATTTCTAAATTCTCTATATCCATCTATATATATATATATCTCGATATCCCTTCCAAATTCTATTCTATATATCTCTTTCTTCCTATGCCTTCGTGCTGATTCTTCTTAATATATATCTCTGTACCCCTTCAATATTGATATAAACCTTGCCCTGCGTCTTCTAAACCCTAAACCCCTTTTGCTATATAAATCTGCTTGTACGTAAACCTACCGTTTTGCATTACTATTTTCTGACGGCCGTCACCATTTATACCTACCTACCTACATATATCCCTTAACATACTGGTGCTTTCTGACGGCCGTCAACATTTATACCTACCTACCTACATATATCCCTTGACATACTGGTGCTTTCTGCCGGCCGTCAACATTTATACCTATGACCTATATCTACCTTGGTATATGGCGTTCTTCGGACCCCCGTTACCATTATGCCTACCTACCACGATAACGCCTATTCCCCCCTACTCCGACCGAATACCGCTTGTTAACCGTAACACCCTCTCGCCTGAACTGTATATCACCCAAAACCCCAACATCGATAACCCTAACCACGATACTAACCTAAACCCTTTCGCCTTCACTATATATCACCTAAAACCCTAACATCGATAACCCTAACCACGATGCTAACTTAAAACCCTTATTGGAACCGTCTTAGTCATACCCCTCGAAATCACCACTGACTGGGACCTGCTTGCTCATACCTCTTAATAACGACTTACTGGGATCGTCTTTGTCACACCGTCTTTGTCACACCTGATATAACTGCTGACCGGACCGTCTTTGTCGTACCCCTATATAAAACCCTAAAACTCTACTTGAACTATAACACCGATAACCCTCACCACCATTCTGACTTAAACCCTTCCCCGGACCGTCTTTGTCATATAACTCGACCGTAACGATATCACCGATATCCCTAACCACGATATATAAAATCTAACACTATGGGGGCCTCTGGGAATATTCGGACTCAAATATATATCTCTAATACAAACGCATCCATCCAAATATATATTTACTATATCTTTGCAATCTCACTAAAACCCATATTCGTGGTACATCCGACGTAACCAAACATACTCATGCGCTAACCGGGAATGCCTGGTGTCCACGGACTGCGCCAAATACTCTCGGACGGCGTCCAAATCCGTCACCCGGACACTGGCGCTCTGCATCCGCTAACACCACCATTCATACCCTCCTGGCGCCTATCGGGCCATTGCCAATGGATCAACATCGCCATCATCGGATACAAAAACTGCCGGTATTCACACTGCCCCCCGGCCTCCCAACCGGGACAAATCGACTGCGGCATCCCACACGAATAACAACAATAAAATCCTCCCGCGGCATACTGCATCGAATCCCGAATCGCCCGTACCCATCGTCGACACTCGCCACTCTCGTCCGCGGGGCAATTCCACAAATCATGCTGCACATCATCCCGCTGCGCCTGCACACATAACCAATATCGGTGGTTCCACTGCCGTGCCTCCTGCGCCAAAAACTCCTCGTCCGATAACTGCTGCGCTTTTAACGTCTGCACACGCTCGGAAATCGCCGTCTGCACCATCTGCTGCTAGCGATATCGGTGCTGGGCCTCGATGGGAACCTCGTGCGCGGACGGGCTGCGGGGACTACTTCTGCTTAGCTCGTCTTCCCGCATCTCGGCGTCGCTATCCTTATAGCTGCCTTCGATCACGGACTCGGCCGCCTCCCAATCCGGGTGACATTAATCACACCATTGCTCATCGACTCCGAATGGCCCGTCCTGGTCGCCGCATCCCTGCCGGGTGTACCCATCGATATCCCCATCTAAATACCTATCCAACAACACTCGCCGACACTGATGCTCACCGGCGATGTATTGCCGGACTAACTCCAACCCGGCTTGCTCACGGTCCGTGTTCTGGTCAAACCATGCGGGAACCTCGTCAAACCCTTCGGGCTGGATGATGATGGCCTCACTGGGTAACCGGTCTCGCCCGGCACGGCCACTTTCCTGCGCATAATCTAACAATGACCGGGGGAACCCAATGTGAATAATGCATCGGATATCGGGAATGTCCACACCCATACCCAACGCACTGGTGGCCGCAATCACCCCGTTCGTGGCACACCGGAACTGTTCCAATATTCCCAACTTACTATCCTGGTCGCTATAAAATACGGAACACCCCAATATCTCTGCCGCCTAGGTCACGATGGGCTTGGTGCTACCATACACAATCACTCGACCGGGTCTGGCACGCTGCACCCGTTCGTGGATGAAATAACGGACACCCGGATCCTCTAACCATTGCGTCTGGGAACGATATCTCGATGCAATCACGGGCCGGTACACCCGGTATGCCACGTTATGACGACTGGTACGCTCGCGGTGCATACTGATGTCCTCCCGCGTCACTTGCATTCGCTGAAATAACCGGCTCTCCTCGCATGGGGGTAATGTCGCGGTTAAAAACACCATCTGCACGCCACACTGATGCAACCGACCTAATTGCTGTAACCGTGGGCGAAACTTCTCGGACTCGTTCAATATCATATGGCATTCGTCAATGACAATCCGATCTAACCGCATCAACTCGCGCTGGCGGTTCAAAAACGACTGGAACCCATCCGTGAATACGGACTCGGGCGTGACGAACACAATGGCCGCATGATCGGGATGTCGATTGCTATCCCACTCGACACATGGAATGCCGGCCGCCTGGCATCGCTGTTGCAAATCCGCACGTAATGCCGTCAATGGCACCACTACAACGGTCAATCCGCCGCGCTAGGCCACCCACGCGGGTAACATAAACAACATGCTTTTCCCACCGCCGGTGGGCATCACCACGACCACCCGGGAATGGCCGGCTTGAATCGACTGGATGGCGGCCCCCTGCACCCCACGGAACTGCATCGTGGGCTGTCCGGTCATCCGCTGTAACGCCTCGGTTATGTTGGTCGTCTCGACTAAATGCTGACGCTCGTCCCGCATCATAACCCCCCTCGTCCTTCCACCGGGGCTGCGGCCGCTTACCCAATACACTACTGGGGATGTCCTTAATATCAAACCCTAATAAATTATGCCAATGCACGCTGCTCGTCCGAAACCCGGCCTATCGGCCTGCCGTGGTTCCCTGCTGCTGGCTCATCATCCGTCCGTATACCATCTCGGCCACGTGCGTGGTGTGCGCGGCTTGCAAATCGGCGACATAGCGAATCCATTGCTCATCGTCCATGGCATCCTCGTTCTCCTCGTCGTCGGCCATAACCTCGGTCCCATCCTCGCGGACGTTATACGGAAACGGTTTGGTATTGCTAAAATACCGTCGGCTAATAGCAATAGCAATATCTCGGTATGCGGCTAACGTTAATCCATGGTGTAATCGCATCTTACTTTCCCGAACTAATGCCTCTTTCAAACGCACCGACGTCCACTCTCGTTCGGTCCCGGTATCGATTCCCCATAACTTACTAGCCTGGGTGTCGGGAATGGCGGGTGACTGGCATTTCTGCTGATAATACGCCTGTAATTGCTCGACAAATAGCAATACCAACCATAAATACCACACGATCAACTCGCCCACTTCGCGGGGCACATACCGATGGATCACCTTGGCGTCCCCGCTGGCGTAAAACCCTTTGTGGTACCGCGTGACTAATGCCACTAATCCATCTTCGATGAACACGTTTCGCTGTCCCCCGGCGGCCGTGTTACGATAACGAATACTCAACAACTCGGGCCCTCGCGCCGGCTGTCCGCTGGTGATATGGACTAATACGGCTAACTTCTCCTTGAAATCGTTGACGAACCCAAAAAACCGTTTGATGCCATCGATACTGCACCGCCCTTCATCCGCGTGGATGAATAACTGCTGCAATGGACGCTCCGTACGCACTCGATCGGACATCCACTGGGCCCCATTGACCGGCCACGACGTGCGTGGATCTTGCAAAAAACTCCACCCCGCCTTGGGCTGGTTGAAATCGTCCGCCATGCGGTCCCATGGGATCACGGGAATCTGGTCGGGTCGGCACATCAATACATAGTCGACCATTAATTGCCGCGCACTGGCGGTTAACCCATAGATGAACCCTCGGAATGCACCCATAGTAAACCGCATCGCTTTGTACGATAACTGATCATGGCCTTCCCAACTGATATGCCCATCGGACGGGGTGTTATAATGGACCTTTAACCTATATCGGCGTAAATCTAACATCCATTCTATTAGGCTGGCGGTGCCGTGGACCATAAATTTATTAGTCATAATACGAATCCATTCGCGGAACGTCTTCGGTTCTTGCCGCGTCTGCGGCGTGAATGCCACTAATGGCGAACTGGATCTCGTGGGTAAACTATTAAATGCGGGTGAACTGGATAATATCAGTGTGGACGGTATACGTGGTGGTGGTGTCAATGGCGGGCTACTACTGTACCCTTCATCACCAAATATATATCCGGGATCCTCCATCGGGCTGGGCCCCATCCACTCCCCATCCAACCGGTTCTGGGTCCCCTGGAATAACTCGCGGGCATTCGGGTCTAATAAATATGCCTTATGCACGATCACAAACCGCGAAATCTTAATCACGCTAGACAAAATAGGCGGATAACTATTGGGGTCCTTCCATAGTCGTCCGCCCTCGTGGTCGCCTACCCCTAAAACGGCTAACGCACATACTAACGCGCACTCGTACTCGCTGGACTGGATCTCTTGATTTAACAATTCGATCACAAAATCCATACACCGTACTTCGACGGGCTATAACCGGTTAGCTTGGTCGCCGGGGTCCTCGCTCGGGCTCGGCTTGGGACGGCCCGCGTGGGTATGACTCTCGGCGGCCCGCCATAATACGTCCTATGCCATACGCTGCCGGCATTTAAACCGGTATATGGGACTGTTCCACTCATGGGGGGTTTGCGTGCGGGCGAAAAACATCAATATCCGCTGGTATGGCTCGACGTGACGCTCTAACTCGGTGCTCTCGTGCATATATGCCTGTAATGGCTTGGCGGGGATACTATGCATATCGGTCCGTGCGGCTTCAATGCGTAATGGATGACCGGTCTGCTTCGTAATACTCTGGCTTTTGCTTACGACGCCAAACATGGCGTCCCATATCACGCGTGCGGTGGCCTCTGGGCCCTCGGTATCCTCGGCCGGCGTTTCAATGCATATCCGTAATTGCTTGGGCGTCTGGCCCTGCAAATAACGTGCCCATCCGGTTCGGTCCAACCATAGGTTCGCCTCGTCGATTGCACCGGCCTAGATAACCGCGGGCTGCTGCTGGTGCTGGGTGAATATCGCTTGCATCTCATCAATCGCTTGCGTCACACGACTAGCCGGGGAATGGGTGCGGTGGGCTCGTACTGGGGACCGGGATGGCGTACGTGGATATAATACGACCCGGATTTACTGCGAAAAACCCGCTAGCAAACCACTCGCCGTATAGCATCCTCGCGTTTCCTCTGTCCTATGGCGGATGCGGATGGTCTAACTCCGCCCGTATGGCTATATATGGAAAACTGATGTGTTCTCGACCAATGCACTCGTAAACTGTCGGGACTGCGATAAACCTGACCGCACCTGGTAATCTGACATAATAACCCGTCTTCGTAAATGGTTAACCCTGGGATGGGATTTTCCACACTTATGGGTAATATCCTGTCCTCGTTGGATATATCGTCCCACTTATCTCTATTTTCAATAATATTAAATACTTGCTATGCAATACCTCGACTGATACGATGAATGCCTTTGGGGGTGGTCAAATGACGCACGATATCCTTGGGCTTCACGGCATACTCGCACTGGCGACAAATGGCAACTCCCTACTTATCGTTGCGGATGAAATATTGGTCGGCAATGGTTAACTCGGTGGGTTCACTCATCTTGAACGTGGATATATATTTCGTAATATGGAATCTGTGCTAAACGGATATTGGAAAACTCCTATCACTGGGAATGGCTCGGATGTTACTAAAATTGAAATTGGATACTACTAGGAACCCCTGAATCCTACGACTGAATTTTTAATCTCTAATCCCTACTGGTTACTATGTGATAAATCGGGTGTGGTTGTTGGCTAGTGATGGGTGATGACTGGGATGGCGCGGCCGACCGTACCCATCAAATTATTTCACGAACTTCGCATCCCTGTAATAAGCTCTCTCAATCGTCGGATAAACTTATAACTTAGTAATATTAATAATAAAATACGAAATTAAAATATACCTAATTTTTGGCGATCAAAACTAATGGGAACCTCATTGTAATCAAACGAAAATATCACAAACCCTGATTGTAATCAAATCACTCGGGAAACCCTAAGCCCATACTAACGGATGCTTAGTCAGTTGTAATGAACTTGATTACAACCACCCCCATGGGATAGAGCAAGATATATCTCGGCGTTTAAGATCCTTACTCGCAATAATAGCGGTCTGATTCCTTTCTTTAATTTCGTATAAGAAGTGACCTAGTCCAATGCGTATCGACCTTATTTGGATAAGGATAGATACGTATAGCTTCGATAGCCCCTTATATAGCTCCAAGACCTTCCGCGTCGGCGCCTTAATAAGGCACTTCGTCGGCCGGCCCGTCTTCTCCCTCTCCCATTATTTCTTCTATCTCTCCTTAATACGCTTACGGGTGTTACGCTTCGCCGCGGAGGCTAGGCGGACAAAGTGTTTCTCCGAACCTGCACCCACACGATACCAGCAGTTTTTTTGAAAATGAACCCTACCGACGCAATATATAGCGGAGATAGGGTTCGAGAAAATAAGGCTCCTAATTGCTATTTATCAAATTCTATATTAAGGCGATAAAGATAAAATATAAGGAATAGTAATCGAAAAAAAGGGAGATAAGCGTAATAAGAAATACATAGGGTCGGGTTAGTCCAAAATACATATAGTCGGGTTGGGTCGGGTTGGTCCGAAATGCACAGGGTCGGGTTAGTCCAAAATGCAGGTCTGACCTTGTGCATTTTCGACCAAGCCGATCCTATACATTTCGGACCATATCCCCTTTGGGAATTTCGGACCAAACGCTAACCTCTTTCGGAATTTTGGACCATCCATACCCGCTCAAGGAGAGCAACTTTAAACCCCCCCTATAAAATTCAATAAAATAGATAAAAATATTCTGATTTAATATATAATATCTGAAGCACTTTTACTTGTAGGGAAAAATATAATATAACCTAGTTTCGCTTATATAAGCCTATCGTTTGTGCCAGTTTTTGCCTACTAGACTATTTATCAAATTCTATATCAAGGCGATAATAATAAAATATAAGGAATAGTAATCGAAAAAAAGGGAGATAGGCGTAATGAGAAATGCATAGGGTCGGGTTAGTCCAAAATATATATAGTCGGGTTAGGTCGGGTTAGTCCAAAATATACTGGGTCGTGTTAGTCCGAAATGCACAGGTCGGGTTAGTCCAAAATATAGGTCTGACCTTGTGTATTTTCGACTAAGCCGATCCTATGCATTTCGGACTATATCCCCTTGGAATTTCGGACTAAACGCTAACCTCTTTCGGAATTTTGGACCATCCATACCCGCTCAAGGAGAGCAACTTTGAACCCCCCCTATAAAATTCAATAAAATAGATAAAAATATTCTGATTTCATATATAATATCTGAAGCAGTTTGACTTGTAGGCAAAAATATAATATAACCTAGTTTCGCTTATATAAGCGTATCGTTTGTGCCGGTTTTTGCCTACTAGATTTGCCTACTAGATACGAGTCTATTGAGCCCATTGTCGACTGCAATGAGATAACTGCCTCCGTCCTATTATCCGAGTCTATTGAGCCTATTATCGACTATAATGACGTGATTACCTCTGTCCGATTATATAAGTCTATTAAGTCTATTAGGGACTGCGATAAGGTGAATTCCCTCGTTCTATTATCTATTAATCTTATTAGTATACTAAGTATAATTAAATATACGTCTTCAGCGAATTATAATAGAATATATAGATATATTTATATCTACGAGACTATAAAACATACAGTAAATTTACCTTATATACCCTATAATTTCTTTTATATTTATCGTACAATATATATCAGATAATAAAATAAGCGTAATATAGTCTACCCTTTTAGTTTACCTTAATTAATTAAGGTAGAACTACTAGAAGGCCTTATTTAAGAAAGTAGTAGGGTTTTAGGGTTATAGACAGCTTATATAAACCCCTAGCCTAAGGGTAACTAAGTATCGTACGAGTGGCTAAAGTATACCCTATCAAAAAAAAGGTCCAAATTTCTAATCCCTATAACTACCTCTTCTATTAGTTATACGATCTTTAAATTAAAACCGAGTATAAAGCGATCGCTAGTTTAGAACTTTTGAACTTTTTAGGATTATCCGACCGATATTTTCAAATAGCATGCACTCGAGAAACCTAATTGGAATGCACTCACTAGCGCCGTTTTTCTCCCATAGTAAAGCCGAAACCCTAAATGGAATGCAATGCATTCCACCACCCCCCATGGGGTAGATTTTTAAATAAATTAAACTACTAATATATATATAACGAATTACATAGTAGTAGATAATAGGGTTTTGTGGGAGATCCAGTGGGAGATCTAATGGGAGATCAAGTCTTTTATCCATCGATGAATAAAAGAATATTTCCTTAATAGGAAACCTCAGGGTATGATATGATGATTGAAGAAGAATTGTATTTTTCTTGTAGAGAATTGCGGACATATTTATATCCAATCAACAATATTCTAGGCCTATATTAGACTTGCATTGTTTTAAGTCTAGGCCTGTCTTGCTTTGAAATCAATCATAGTCTAGGCATCATTTTTAGTTGTCAAGGCATCATTAATAGTCTAGACCTATTGTCAAGGTATCATTAATAGTCTATCCATAGAACACCTTTTAATAGACCTATTATAATTAGGTGGCTTTTCGTATTTACCTGACCAATTATAGAGATCATAGTCTTCTTGGATGACTAAAGGTAATGCTGACAGTCCTTGATAATGCTGACAAAGGTAATGCTGACAGTCCTTGAATATGCTGACAGGTTTTAATAATATTAATAACAGCGTAGCTAATTGTACCTTATTAGAATAATTCCC